ACAAGTTGTGGAATAATAGCTATCGATGGTACCATAAAATGTGTGCCAACCTATAGCTTACTGAACACAAGAGGTGTTCGAAACTGAATTTTTGGTGGATTTGCAAACCCTGCTTATCTTCATAATATATATCATAATACAGAATGTTATTTCACTCTCTGATGACAAAAAAGCTTGGGCAAAGTATAAAAAACTCAACACCTAATAATGATGGCAGGGTTACTAATATCATCATCTATCGTTTTCCGACATCCGTTTAATCAATGCGGTAGCTTTGGGTGCTTAGCTCGACAATGATTTCCATTGGAACTGCAGAGCATATTAGGTATTCTAGACAACCTTAAAGTGTAGACCTTTGGTGCTAACTCTGTTCAGTCATAAAATCTTGCAAAACGGAGCTGTTTGGATAGGTCCTCATCAAGTCTTCTGTTCAAGAATTTGTCCCTGAGAATACTTCTGGTATGTATGTAAAATATTCAGTTACAGTGTGTAGACAAGCAGTTGGTGACGATAATCTTCAATAGCTTAGACTTCTGAAGGTTTTGTTGAAATTATTAACTAGTCCTGATTGCACATCAAGGGACTAATTAAAACAAAGTAGACAGCAGTTATATCGGAAATCAGATATAGTAATCTGGAAAAACCCAAAGTTTATACGTTGTAAAATATTTAAGTCTCGTAAGTGAATGGTAACAAGGTTTCTCGGGATAAGTTATGCAGAATAAAGAGTTAAATATTAGCATACAAAAATACTCTTATCTTCGAAGATAAACTACAAAATGTAGCAGCATTGGTGAGTGAATTGTCAAATGACTATGGCTTTCACTGAGAAATCTCTAGTTCCTGAACCTAATGTCATAGTACAGCTTTCGGGATATAATCACATTTGCATACACAGAGCCAAACTTCGTAATGCAGGGGTAATAGTTACCAACCGCTTATAAACACACTGATTTTTTGTATGAAAGATGTGAATAAAACTTATATAGCAGTCGTTTGCGAATTCAATCTTCAAGTATTCATATTTATCATCGGTGTGGTCTACTGTAGCCCTAATCGCCAAACTTATAACTTTGAGAAACAGAGTAAATTTTACTGCCACATCAGCTTGGGTGAGTTAAACATACCTTATGCAGGTTGGCTCAATATGATGCCTTCAATTATTGTCTACACTTCTGAAAGTAGATTAATCTTTAGAAATATTGGGAATACCTTAGTGCAGTATGTTTCTGTGAACATGCAGTCCAGCTTCAGTCAAAACTCTTCATTGATGGACACCATTTTCTCATGTGAATCTCAAGATATATCTGGCTTTATTAAATTACCCTAACAAGCAAACACTGATCAGGCAATCCTATTGTAGAGATTTAAAATATGTGACATGATTTATAACCATGCACAACCTCATCAGAATGCTCGGTATGCAACTATCTCTGACATTAAAGAACCTACTGCATGTGTAGATTGGCTAGTCATCACTAATGGTTCTACTGATGATGAGTGGATCAAGATCAAGAGAATTTTTAAGCCTGTTACAACTTATTTAATCCCTTATTCTTTTACTCTCAGGCTTCCAAAGTGTCTTTCACCAATAAATACATAGATTAAGCAAGTACTGAGATGTCTGAAAAGATCATCGAATTTGCTCAAATTCAATGGTTTAGAGAGGTTTTTAATCAAATACTGGGGTTTTATAAAAGCTTAAAAGGACCTGATCAAAAATCTGAGGGAATATGCAAAAATAAGCTTGTCCAGAGTTCTTCTTGTTAGCCCAAGAGGCTTTTTAATTAAATCGAGAAATGTATCTGTAGCGGCAAATAAGTCCCCAAAATAAATAGCTTAAAGTCTAACAAGATTCTGCAGCAATGCTGACTTTCACCTTTTTAACGAATTTGCAAAGCTGAAGACACACTTTCAGGTATTCAAACCATTTGTGGAGTTGTGGCGTTACGTTGTGCTGCACATAAGCGATTCTGTAACTATTCAGTTGGACCGTATCGGTATTTTGGTACAGTCTATCAAATATACTATTCCATCCGGCTACTCTATCGTTTCTTTTCTTAGTCTCGCACTGATGAGCATATGACAAGTACAAATAAATGGTGACTGAACTTTGCTGTAGTAAAGTTCGCGCAAGACATATTCCTAAACACCTGCAGAAATGATGCAACACCGAAACAACAAATAATGATGGCTTAACAGAAGCCTCAAAAAGTGATTTACTGGAAGCTGAATTGTTACCATATTACTCTAGCAAGGTATTTGCAGAAGACTGTAGTGTATACTCCGTAATTTTTCTCAAGTATAACATGGAAATGGATTGAGTTCTTATCAAGTAGAAGAGTATTTTAAAGTCATTCCATTACCCTGACCTAGACGATTCCGTTGAACTTGGTGAGCGAAACCTCCATGTACCATCAACAATGAAGGACATCACCACCGAATCACTTCCTACCCTGTTTAGAATAACATTTAATAAGCCGAAACCATCCAAATAGAAGAAGAACGCAACTACCAGTCAACTTTACAAAAATGGGCCTAGGTATCCTGTAACCAAAGCTGTCACGTTACTCTGATCGATATATTCACCAAGCTGATTGAAATATTAATACTTGAAGTATTTCCACAGTGCTTCGAAGGAAATAAAATTAAGGCAAATGGACAATAGCGTTCCAGGACTGGACACTTTTATCAAATAAACCTTTTCGCTGAACCGATGCAGTTATACATCTGTATGAAGTGTTTATCGATTTAATTAAAGCCTTCAATAAGGCGTCTGACCGTGAACTTTCGTTAAATTTGGAAAGTTTTGGCATCAATAAGAAAGTTAGAAACTAAATCAAAGACTTTCTTGTTGATATAAGATAATGCACTGGAGTTAGCAGGGTACTGTCTTCCTGGAAACTCATGGAAACTCTATTTAGACAAAATACCCATTAAAATCAAAATCATCTAGTCTAATATTTTTAGAGAGCATCATGGTTTCGTGACCCATAGACAATAAAAAAAAGGCTACTCACACAAGAAGAAGAGAACACATGAGCTGAATGGTCTGATAGATGATCACTGGAAATAAATACTAATAACAGCTTAGTCACGCACAATGGTCGTGAGGACCTGCACTAATACACGATTAATTGTGATCCATGATACAAGGTTTCTGAAAATAGAGATTTGGGATTCATTATAGGTTATTATCTCGAAAACCAGAATACTGCACCAGTTACAACAGCTTGTTGAGATTCATAGTCCCTCTATAGGCTCTTTCTGCGATTCAGTGAGCATATATCTTAAATATTATGTCCAAAAAGTATCATTTCTCATTTGGAATCTAGGGTCCATGTAGCAACCTCATGTTTTAAATAGGAAACAGATATGCTAGAAGCAGTTCAATAGGTGGATACTGAAGTGGTTAGTGGTTTCTATAACCTCCATCAAAAGAAGTGACTGCCTTGACTTTACCTGTCTTTACTACCTTATCACAGACTGAGTATGAATTTGTGGCGCACGTTTTGTCATCGAAAATCCTGCTAGGTTTAAGGTAAATAGACAAACATCAAAACCACCTAAGTAATAGTTAAATAATCTCCTATGGCTTCGGTGAGTGGCTTTAGGTCTGTAAGTTTGTTTTAATATGTAGGCATCTGTGCGTCAAAATCCGCTATTTTGTCTCGTTTCGTGCTATTCAGCAGAATCACACTCTGAGTCCCTACCTTAGAATTAATAGACGCATAAGTCTGATGTTTTTCTTCTAAAATAACCTTAGCAACTTTGACCAATAAAGAGATGGCTCGTCCGAGCACCTTTTTTCACGTAATACGTTTTATTACTTCTATTTTTTTCTATCAGTAATTGCATTTAGGTAAGGTACTGATTAGCTTGATACTGGAGCACACTAGTTTACATACGACAGATAGTGTTAGGCAACAGTGACAAAGCCAGCCTCTTAGAAATTCAACCTGGCAGAGTGTTACTCAACTAATGATTTAGACGCCGACTTATCCAATAAATTCCTTTTCTCGTGAATTCATCACCTGGGGAAACATCTCTGAAGAGTTCAAAACTATTTATTGAACCGTCTGCTTGTGGAAGTCAGTCTCTCACACTAACTTGTGAATCATTGTGGCTGATTTCTGAGCTTGTTTTTTCTGCACTTTTTATTGACAATTTCAAAGCAAAATTGAATCTCCATAATACCCACCGCCGAAATAATTAATGTAAGTCCTCTATCTTAACTTCTTTGAAAAAAAGCTAGCTACATTTCTGGCTTCGCTTCAAGTTTAAAAAGTAATGACAAAGTGTTTACACGCTTCTGGTATTCAGAAACAGGTTTCATATAAGAAATTATGATTGACTTTAGAATAGCATGATCAACTCACAAATGGCGCAAATTATTTGTCAAAAAAGTGGACTGTTTCCATATGAAGTGAGGCTAATCTTTACAAGACAATTGTTTTTGGGTGAAACACCAATAAAAAATTGAGGTTTATACACGCACTTACAAAAGAACACATACCTCAAAGATTTCTAAGTACAGATTAAATATATCTATCTCCGGGAAAACTGTTGAAAAGCTCACTTATTTGTATAAATTTCCAAAAAACCTCGAAATCGTTAAACTAAATATTCACTTTATTTCTAATAAGCATATATCTAATCTAGAAAGATATACTGAGCCTAATTTCAAATATCTGGTTTGTCCCGAAAAAGTTCGAGTCTACTTTTAAACACTTAGGCGCATCCAAAAGAAAAGCGCTTAGGAGTCTGTCAAAGCTGTAAACCCCTGAAATATCTGAGTAATTGCTCGTGCGGACCTTCAGGTGTTTCATAATAAATATTATCGTTTTCAGATAAAATGAAAACGATTTGTAGGAATGTATCTAATTATTTTAAAGTGTACCTAAAGTGGGCTTTGGTTGGAGTACATCTGACCTGAAATATTAAGAAAACTATGATTTACCATTGCCAAGGAACAATAATAGCGAAGAAGAAAGTCTTACACCAGAGTGAATCCTTTCGAAAGTACGAATAAACATTACAAGGTTTATATGAACTACATAAAAGTACAATGAGCGTCACAGTGTTCATCAACGAATATAAACAAAAACACATGTCAAATTAGGTTTCCGTTTTAAAAATGGAACAGAATAAAATATGTAGAAGCTTTTTTCAGAAGAATCTTCAGGTTTCTATGATTGCCTTTTGAGAACAGATCCAAATAAAAAGGATACAGTTTCTCTGGAAGTTTGATACAACTATTTATTGGTCATTGCTGAAAAAACTCACCTAATTCTCGAGTCACTACCAAAAGTGATGCCTGATTTACCGCTGGATATGGCAGGGGGCAAGGAGTTCTATGAGATAGAATCTTTACTACCTCGTGTACGACCAGAAGTATGCTTCATATTTAGATTCACTTATGAGAGTCAACCCCAAACTTGGTCACTTCAACTTGTTGAAGAGAAACCGCCCATTTGACATTCCTAGCCGATTTTGATATTATCAGCGTGGTAAGCCGTGGAAAATTTGGTGAAGCTTCATGATCGATTTGTAGTCAGAAGAAATTACGTCTTGAGGCATTCCTTCAGAGACTATAAATGAACATTTTACTCCCATACTATGAATTTCACATAAGAGAAGCTGATTTACTGGCATCATCAAACTGATACCGATTGTTCTGACGTCCACATGATCAAAAATTAAAAGGTCATCATTAACGGTGCTCTATCGGATAATACAACATAGCTCATCTAAGGAATATTACAGACAAAAGCATGTCGAGAACACGTGGATTGCCAAAGACCCATGAGCCTAACGCAACAGTTTGCCCTGCCTTACACATGCCCAATTCACCGTATCATAAAGTAGTAGGATGGTTAGCGAATACTCTGAAGCTCTCACAACGTAAGGTGGGCAGGCATACCTTTTGGATCGATCCCAAAAGTCAAAGAAAACATTATGATCTGGGTATAAGCATAACAGACTAGACAGGAGAGGGACTGGTCGACATGTATTTCATGTTACCACGTCTACAGTTTGACAGACAGACGAGATACCGACCAATCAATGGTATTGTTCAACCTCAACTTATCTATATATTAGGTATATTTTCCTCTGTTCTTGTCTTCTGCCTTTCAACCCCAATAAACGTTCCTACAGGTCCATCGTACCTTCTCCACTAATAAGTTCGGTTAGAAATCAACTAAGAATCCGTTGAGCCTTGGCGCCTGAAGGCTGATATCTGCGTACCGTTAGCAACCATAGCGGCTTCCGAATAACGACACATTAATGATAAAACAATTATTTCTATGGCTGTCACCTGCTTGTCTTGCAGTGCCTCCCCCTTGGGAAAAGTGATTTTTTTGTGGCTCACTGCTAGATAATAAGGTAAGGGCAGGTTGCCAGATGAAAACTCAGAAGAGCTGCTTCTTCGTTTCATGACAAATGCACAATTTGAGCTTAATAAGGAAATTTACTGTCGGATAAGGGGCCTAGAAATGGGTTCAGCATGATTGCAGAAATGAAAAGTAGACCGCGATAGGTAAACCTTCCTTCCGTATCAGATACGTGGACGAAATTTCCACTGTGTAGGTAAGTGGTGCCTATCCTGATATCTTTCCGGATTCATTCAACAGTACCCATCCAGAAATCGAGTTTACCTGTGAGACGGACAAAGGGCGACGTCTGTCATTCCGTCCCCATTCAATTATTTGACCCTATTTCTTTATGTACATCTGTCTATCCTCCAATTTTATGGCCTAAATAGGAGCAAGAATCTGGACAAGCAATCTCAGAGACCAAATAACTTGTTGACCGTAAGAAAACTCATTCACGTTGATCAACGGAGTTGTCCTACAGGCCAAACTGAACGAGCGCCGTACCACCTGGAAACCAATCAGACTGCCGTCTTATGACTATCGTGAGGTCATTTCTCGCCATCTCAGTAGGCCATGCTGGAAGACTGGTTTCGTGTTAACGAGTTTTTCGTTGATTTATAAGATTTTCAGACGTAGTTGACGTTCTCATCTTACGAATCTCACTCAGTTATGTCCCGTTTATGATACCATTTCGTTGGTTGCTTGCTTTGTTAACTGCTTTTATTGCTTGCGATGTTCGGGGACACACTTCAGTTGCAAAGGGTGTTTTTTTGCATATTTGTTCCTTGAAACTTATTTCTTCATATTATGTTAATGCGTTAATATAAATTTATCCTCATTATGTTGTTCTTGTTGTGTTGGAAGTTGGTTAACCGTTAAAAAGCCGTGATGCTGCCTGTGCTGCACCTGATCCCCGAATTTCTTCAACGTCCACTGCCTCCATCTGGTTGTTTAGGAAGTTGATGTAAATATTAACACGTTCCATTGCTGTTTAGTATCCTTCGGCTGAAAGTCTGCTAAGAAGAATGCTTTACCCATTCGTTTTCATAGCCTCGCGAAGTCTCAGCAAGCCTCAACGAGCATTGCTAGCCGGGCTAGTCCAATATGTGTGGATATTTCTGAGGTTTATGAGCAGGTTATACGGCCCAGACATTTTACTGTCTGAAGTCAAGTTGAAGAGGCGATAATACCTTTCAGGAAGTATGCTGGGAAGTCACTTAAATCGATGTTTAGATGACGTGTGTGCATTACGTCGTCAATGAATGTAATCGTTATAAAGATGTTGTGTTGGCATGCACTTGAGGTAACAGAAAGAAGCCAGGAGATACTAAACTATGAACTAAGAGGCAATCTAAGAATTTGTTAAGGGTAGGGTTTTGGATCGAAATATACTGGTTGCCAGTCTGGAATTCGGATACGTTTTGAGTCAAGTCGTTTTATTTTCTCAAGTGTCATGATGATGCATAACCATCCATGCGATATGAATTGTCTTTTGAATGACCCTCAGTGCAGACACCTAACGGAGGGCGAACTGAAGGTTGTCAAACCAACAGTGGCTGTCGGGTACGGACCAGACCACGTTATGCAGTATGCGAAAGGAGTTATGTCGAAAGATGTAACCTACGACTACCTGAAGGATATCCGGAGGAAAATTATGCCAAGTAATTTATTTCCAGAACGGCTTTTATTCTGCAGGTTACGAATCTCAAAGAATGGTGTTTGATAAATTGGAGAGTACTGGTTGACTGCTAACCTGGAGTTACGGAGAGCATCAGCAAGCGGACGGAATATGACTCGGCAGCACCAATCAAATAGCCACCTGCTTGTGATTTCCCGAGGTTGCATGCTTTGACTCAACCTAGTGTACAAACAAGGGGAGGTAGGTCTATTTTCATGGTATTAACAGAAAGCGTAGCTATAAACTGTTCCAATTTGTTGTAACGGACAATTTTGGTAACAGTCCCCCAGCTCTGTTTGTGTGGACCAGGGGAGAACAAAGGGCAGATGTGATATGGATGTTGGGCGCCCTTAAGCTGATAATGGGTGAAACGTCGTCCACACGAACGTCCTTCATTGGCTGTGCAAGGGCGTTGAAGGCGGCTGTTGAAACTGTCCTCCTGAACATGGGTGTAGTCCTCTGTGCGTTCCACGTATGCAGAGCTATGTCCAAAAAGTAAGCATTTCAAAGTAGTGTTTACATGCACTTAACTTGAAGACACGGAATTCGATACTCCAACAATGTCTGAGCAGATTGATTTCAGAGGATTCTGCTAGCAGGCAAGACAGTAACAGTATACTGGCGTCTAACACAGGTTTTACGCACATAACCGCATCGTCAACGCTATCAGTCAAGATATGGAGAGGCACCTAAGTCGCATGCGGATGAACCGCTGGCGACTCTGGTCCCCTGCGTTCTACAGTCAGGTCCTGATATTAGGTAGTAATACTAATAATAGAGTTGAAAGCCTCCCCAAGCAGATATAAGGGAGGCTAAGAAAGTGTGACAAGCTGCATTTTTCGATTCGAAAGCGTATCAGTGGGACAGTAGAAGAAGTGAAAGGAGGAGGTTTGAAATAGAATTGCCAGGCTCTGGGAAACAAGTGTATGGTGGACCCAAAAGGCCTCAACCGATCCTTGACAAACTGAGTCCTTATGCAGCAAGAAAGACTTCAAAAGACCGAAAGCAGTATGCATCGAAAACAAGTTACCCAACTGAGTTTTCTTTGTAGATTGTTGAAGGAATCCGGAAGTTGATATAAGCCAGGGGATGTCTTCCTGAAAGTTTTACAAGACCCGTCTGTTCCCCCGTCAACATACGCTTATAGCTGGTTTCAAATCCTGGAATTTACTGGTAAGTTGCCACACTATGGTTTACTAAATGCAATCACCCCCGTGCTGCAAAACTGTCAACGATGGACGTACAGTGAGCCACACATTAACATTCCTAACGCACGGATCGAAAGCGCCTTATGAAGGACAGACTTAACAGCCGGATGTCTCAATTGGGGAGTGAATATGGTTATGTACAGGCCAAAAACCCAGTGAAGCGCTGCATCAATTTCGCAGATGAGGGTGTGAACGCAGCCGGCAGAGGGCTGTACAACGACGAACCACAGGCTGTTCACCTATTACAATCCCTAACATTCGCCCACCTTTCAATCGCGAGATTTATGCCCACCAAATTTTTGGTATGGATACGAGCCCTCACAGAGAGGTAACTCCAATTTACCTCCACCTGTTCCATACACTTAGATGCCATTATGGGTTGCACACGTAAACTTTACTGCATAAACAATGGATGATAAAAAGTAAAGTGGTGCAAGTCTGTGCTCCTTTTCGAAGATAGATTTCAAGAATACTTTTCACCATTCATCATGTTCACCTATTTTCTTTTCCTGCAGGTAAAAAACGTTGAACCTGCCTACTAGATAGTCATTCACGCATGACTGCACAGACATATTTTATCATGTAACTTATCGTACTATTTTACAGCATAATACAAGCCTTGCTTCCCAATAATTGCTATTTGAGTATGCCCACGGGTTGCTGTGGGCACAAGTAAGCTGGTCCGCATGATTCTGAAAACCACCGTTTCAGTGCGCACACCGGTTATCGCTCAGGTGCGAACAATAGAAAAAAGCCCAGTGGCTGCGTGGCTTCAGGTTGTCGATTTATTATCTGCAGTTCTGCATTCCGT